TGGGAATAAAGTAATATGTGAAGGCTCATTCAGCAATGGGCCAACATGCAAACTGAAGAGAACAAGTGTCTTGTCCGTATCCCCATATAGAGATCAACTTATCTGTAGGGGACAAAAATGACCAGAATTACATACATGCCAGTACATGAATGACTCTGTTATTACATGCAAGATGAGGCAATGCTCAAAAACAGAGAAATAACTGCTTAACATGTAGTTGTGAAAAACTGAAAATTAACATTAAACATAAACATAATATTTAAGATTAGCTAACAAGAGACAACTAACTAAATTGATTACATATGGCTATTATTTATTATTATCATTTGAATTTATGAATAATTAAGATGAAATCTTACATTTTATTAAAAATATTTAAGAAAATAATATATATTAAAACTGATATCTGGTAGCTGATAGTCTGGACAGGCGGACTTATACATAAAAGGTCCTGTGTTAAATAATCTAAAGCTTGGACGATGATTACATGTGCACTATAACGTGGTTTGATGCTCAATTAACTTATTTGATATTTGGGATCCAAAATTCAAGATAAATTAAAAAAAAAACCAAGTGGTTATCTGTAGGTTTATCAAAATTCACCGCTCACAAATAAACAGTTACTTGAGCAGATCTTTTGCTCTGAGCACACTTACCAGTGAACTGATGAGGAGTGAATAACTGACAACCTCATGCACTCACGACTTCATTTGTGAAGAACAAGCTGGAAATTTGCAGGGGTTACCGGGCATTCCTGATTCTCATGTCAACAAACTAGACAGACAAAGTTTATGATACATGCTGGCATGCAAATGCATACCGTGTATTTACAATTTAAGATGACACGTCATGACATGTCATGACATTTCAATCAGCATGTCATCCACTAAGATGACAGACTGATTTCATGAAATGTCATGACATCACTCAGACTTATGACGCATTTCCACCACATGGTTCGGCTCAACTCGACTAAGGTTTGGTGGTAACACTTTGACATTAACAAGAAATGCACCTCTCATAATAAGGACATCCCAAACAAATTTAATGTCAACTTGTCATGACAAAGACAACTTCTGGTAATGTCACTTTGATAAATGTCAAATTGTCATAATCAAGACAACCCAAACAATGTCAACTTGTCATTACAAAAACCGAATGACACTTAATGACAGCAGTCATAAACGCTTATGACAGTGTCATGTCATAGTTATGACAGTGTCATGTCACTCTTATATAGATACCTTCAAGTAAAGTGTTACCGGTTTGGTAACAGGTCCTTCTTTCTATTTTCTTTTCCGCTGCGTATAGTTCCCACTCACTGTAGGCAGATTCAGTTTATTGCCATAGTGACGCCGCATGAAAGTGCTGTGACATTATCTTTTATGCGAAACCTGCTGGATTCTTTCATCGGCAACTAAGCAGAGGAGTGTCTAGTGCACACCTTAGTTTTGCGGGCTACCACTTTTTTAAAATCTGGGACAGGGGGATGAAAAAATGTTCTCTATTGATGTTAGCTTGGCTATTTAAAAATGGCGGGTTTGTGCAGGATGTCCCGTGTCGCGCAAGTGATAATTTGCTCTGACCAATCAGTGGTTTGCAGTGTTTTAACTCCAACTCCTTGTATCAGTTCAGCTCATCTTTTGCCAATGCAAACCAATGAATAAGTGAGTTGAGTTGGGTAGAGCTGTGCCTTACCATGCAGTGGGAATGCGGCATTAGTCCCGTCACCCCTTCAGCTTCATCCAACAAACTTTTTTTTTTTTTTTTCAGCAAAAGATGACCCAGGCCTTACCCTAATCTTACATACTCACAAACTTATTTAGAGCATTGTCATTACTCAGCAAGCACCTTTTGACTATAAAATATTTAAAAGCAGCTAATGAAGATAAATATGTAAAAATAATACAAACGGCTCAAAGAGGAGTGGAGCTGGAGGTAGTACCACCTCCTGCTTTCAAAATTCAGTTGATGCCAATGCATTTAACTCTCAGGCCAGATGTGGGAGTTTCAGCATGCACCATACCAGCACTGCATCACATATCAACAAAAAGCCATCATGATATATACAAAACATGTTCATACAATTTTTAATGTCTCAAATAAAATCTATATTAGAATAACATGTTTGCATCATCCATCAATCAACAGAAAAAAATCATGCCTGTTATTAGACTTTTAAACTCTACGGGTAAGTGCTTCAGTATTATGAGTAATACACATTTAAATTCAGGCAATACCATGATAAGCACTTTCACATTTCAAAGGTGCCGTTAACAAAAATTGCAAAGGCTCACGTGACAATGTATTAAAAGTATTTCACTTACCTGACCTTGCTACTTTCAGTGTTATAAACACAAGTCAACTCAAGAAAAACAGCACATCATCACTCTTGTCTCTCTTTTCCTCACTCCCTTTCTGCAATTAGTAATATGAATTTTCCCTCTCACACAAGAGTAAATAGTAACACACACATACAAACAGACACGCACACACCCACATACCCACACACACAAACAAAATTCCTAGTGTACTGTGTAACACCTGCACAGAGATGTCTTATTTAGCACACACAAGGGAACATTAGCTGCTTTGGAATTTAAACATTTCTCGACCACCCTGAACACTAGACAGTGTCTACCCCAAATTGACAGGTGGTCTCTCATGTAAACAAGCTGGTAATCAGTTTTCATTTCAGCAAATATTTGTAGTTGATTATTGGCTCTCTCTCTCTCTCTCTCTCTCTCTGTCTCTCTCTCTGTTTTTTCTTTTTTAAGAATTAATACAGTGGATGCAACTGCAGGTTTATAAATAAACAAATTCAGAAAATAGAGCATCTTGTATTGTAAAATACTCGAATATGTGATAGTGTAGAGAAGTATTTAGGCACAGAGCAGCTGCACTGGTTTCATATTTCTTATATCATCTATATAAATTTATGTTTCTTGGGTTAGTTATTTGTTATTTACCTGCTCTAAAAGATCTTTCCATGTTCACAGTAGAGTATGCCCTGGCGTTTACGTTAACAGCAGCACAGTAACCATTTTAACATGCCCAAGTTCTGAGGCCACTTAGTCTGCAAGGTATCTCAGTTCTGACTTGTAATCCAGTTCTTTTTACTAGTACTTAACATGAGACAGGAAAAACTTGTATGAGGTTTATTTGAGATTACAGAAACGTCAGGTTGAGTCCTTCCAACTTAGATCTCGCCCGACTTGATGTCCTGTTCCTATAGGTTCTGACATATCGCTCATTATTGCACTCTATAACACTGCATAACACAATCAAAAAAACTTATTGCAGTCTAAATCTACGCAGACATCATTTCATCTTCCAAGCACCAGTTCTTTTTGCCGTGCTCGCTAAACGGCCTTACAGCACCATACCTGTCATAAAAACTGTACACCTGTGTTTAAGCACAGAAATTATACTAACTTTAGATGTAACTTTCGTATAATCCACGACTTTACACTAATCAGAAAGAACAGACATTTTTACCAAATAGAAATATAAGCTCTTAAAAGCAGCATCACATACATTAACAGAACACTGGCCTTTACGGTAATGACATACACAACACAATAATGACCAACTCATACAACTAAAATGGTATTGTAACAGGTGGAAAAATGTATGACAAATTAGTCATTGTTTTGTATTTGTTTCCTCTTGACTACATAATTTCATATCTGCATGTTTAAATAAGCCACACAGAAAAATAAACTTAACACAAAATAATGATGAATCTTAATCATAATTGAGAAACCATAAGAAGTTCTCATCTAACAACTTCTGTTTTCCAAGATTACATCTTATTTCTAACCGAACTATGCAAAGCACATTAGCTCATTGTTACCATCATATGTTACTATTGACAACCAGCACACTGCACATAACACCTACAGTTAAGAAATATAAATAGCCTGTTTCTCTTCCTTAACTATGTTAACAGTAAATACCAAACTTGTCTCAATTACACAGCTTTTGGTGGCACATTTTTCCAAATACTTTAAGCACAAGCACTTCTAGCATGAGAGGCCTCCTAGGTACAGAGCAATAAGCATCGCTAGCACCATCAAACCCATCAAACTACAGAGGAACAGAAGCAAAGACAAACTTCAGATCTCTACTTACCACCACACAGAACTAAATTGAACTTGATGAGTTTATGACCTAGTCACAATAGTGATAGTCTGAGGCAAGAATAGGAAGCCTCACAGCCTGGAAGTGTTCTCTGTGGTGCTTAGTAACAGGATGCTGAAATACATCGGGCATGTAATTAAGACAAGTGTTCAATGCATCTGTAAACAATTACAATAATAAGATCCTGGGCATTTGTGAGCTGGAGGCTATATTTGCTTGAAGTCCTAATAAGACTACAAAGAAAGGCCACACATATTGAATATCACCTTTTATTGCATCTTATCTCATCACAAGAGAATACTTTCGCCGCATCCTAGGAGTCGTCTTTCTTTGGAGAGAAAGCACAAGAGCATAATGGACCATAATAGGATCTTAAATTAGCCTCAGCCTCAACACTTGGCGCGATGGTCAAGGGATGTTTCAAACAATATCACTGCCAAAGGATTGTTTGACGGTTTGAGGGTGCGGATGGAAGAAATAATCCTGTAGTAAGACTTTCTGGCCCACATCCACAAAGATTTGAAGTAAGTAGCTTTTCATTTATACAAAAAGGTCGCATAGTAACTACAAATACAATATTTATCACTAGTCCCTGTAGTTAAACCACTGAGTATAACATTTTGAGTTATTGTTAAAATGCATAGTAATAACCAGCTGGTTGTTGTTGTTTTTTTGTTTTGTTTTTTTGGAGAGGAATCTGTCTTTTTAATCTGCGGGTTCATTCAGTGATAATGGTGTTTTTGTGTCATACAGGATAAGGTGACAGCAGTTGTGATGATGGAGCGGAGAAGGCCATCTGATATCATTCTCAAGATAAGCTCAGTGACCTAAACAGGAGAGCTGCTCCTGTATGGTGTCCAGAGATTTCAGTATAAAAGAAGCACTTCCAGGCTCGTCAGAAGTTTTGGACTGATAGGCTGCCAACGAAGGTGAGTCTTCTATCACACTGTTTGCAGTGATTAGTGCTTTAAGTTAATGAGCTGTTCAAGAGCAGTTCTTTTGCAAAGACTTGCTAATTTTGGCATTAGAGAGACTTTCATTGGTTTATTTTCTAATTTGACTTTGTTTTTTTGTTTTTTCTTAGTATCCACATAACAACGGCAACACAAAAGGTAAATGACATTCATGCAACTAGTGACTTGCCTGAAAAAAGGACACAAAATGAAACAAAAATATAACTAATAAGCCATGCACTTTCTATTTTATGTTATCATCAGATGTCTTTCTGTAAATCCAAATTTCATTATTTCACTCATACTTTAATAATTTTTACAGTGGAGCCATGCATGCGGACTCAGAAATGGAGTGTTTTGGCCCGGCGGCCCTATACCTCCGAAAACCAGAAAAGGAGAGAGTAGAGGCTCAAAACCTCCCCTTTGATGCCAAAACAGCATATTACGTGGTTGAGCCCACTGAGGTGTATGTGCCGGGGAAGCTAGTGAAAAAAGAGGGTGGCAAAGCTACAGTTGAAATTAAGGGTGGGAAGGTATGTAGACATCTATTCTCATATAATACAATATATATGTAAAGTAAATGAGTGGCAACATATCCTCACACTTTATTTCATAATGGTACTGCACATTCTTAGAGCTAATTGTGTTGTTTTGTTGCAGACTCTCACTGTGAAGGATGATGACATCTTCCCCATGAACCCTCCAAAGTTCGATAAGATTGAGGACATGGCCATGATGACCCACCTCAGTGAACCCTCTGTGCTGTATAACCTCAAAGACCGTTATGCAGCATGGATGATCTATGTAAGACCAGTTTAGATATTAAGTATAAGATTAGGTGTATACAGTATATACATGTATGTATAAAGGTGACATGTAATTTATATGTGCTCTCCCTAAACAGACCTACTCAGGGCTGTTCTGCGTCACTGTGAACCCCTACAAGTGGCTCCCAGTGTATGACTCAGTGGTTGTACAAGGATACAGAGGCAAAAAGAGGATTGAGGCTCCACCCCACATCTTCTCCATCTCGGACAACGCCTATCAGTTCATGCTCCAAGGTATCAGTCAGTTTTTAAGCTACTGTGTGTCCAGAATAGTGAGTCTACATAAGGAGCTAGTCTTTGCAGTGTATTGTGACACCAACTGCTGTAATATAAAAAATATAATGCAATAGTACTGTTTAAGATGTTCAAATTTTATTCTCTCAACAGATCGTGAGAATCAGTCAATCCTGATTACGTAAGTCAATTCTAAAGAGAGCTAATTAAGACTTGTTATTACTGCACTGTGTTATATCTGATTTACACTAACACACATGTCGTATAATTGTCTGCATTGTAGCGGAGAATCCGGTGCGGGAAAGACTGTCAACACCAAACGTGTCATCCAGTACTTTGCGACAATCGCAGTGGCTGGAGGAAAGAAAACTGCTGAGCCAGTAGCTGGAAAAATGCAGGTAAATAATGTGATATTCTGTGCGTGTGTATGGTGTCTATGAAAGTGTAAATACCAACATGTCATGTAACTTTATTTAAGGGGTCGCTGGAGGATCAAATCATTGCAGCCAACCCTCTGCTGGAGGCTTATGGTAACGCCAAAACTGTGAGGAATGACAACTCATCCCGCTTTGTAAGTTTAAGTTAATAAGAATCTTGCTCCTTTCAAATAGTGTCTGCTTTTAAGATGGTCTGCTGCCCTCACTATTCTTTGTTTGTTTGTTTTTCTTTGTAGAATATATTGCAATATTAGAATTTAGAAGCATGCTGTTTTTTTGTTTTGTTTTTTGTACTGAATAATGTTTTGGTAAGTTAATATAACTTTATCATTTAACTCTCTGTGTGGTGCGAGTGGAAAGACCTCCAGTAGGATTTTAATCTATCATTTACCACCAAGTATAAACCTGTGTACTAGCAGAGCGAGTCACAAACATGCCCGCACTGATAACTGCATTCCTCTGCAGGGTAAATTCATCAGAATCCATTTTGGAACAACTGGAAAGTTGGCTTCAGCTGATATTGAAACATGTAAGCCTCCAGCCCATCGTTATATCCAGAAGGTTTAATAAAAGTATAAACTGTAATCCACCTTATCTCCTTGTTTTAAAGATCTGCTGGAGAAGTCTCGTGTGACGTTCCAGCTGTCTGCTGAGAGGAGCTACCACATCTTCTATCAGCTCACGACAGGCCACAAACCTGAGCTGATAGGTGAGACATTTAGCTATATATATCATTTTATAGAATAAATGCATGCTCCACACAAGTCTGTATAATGAAATGCAATAAACATCTTTCAGAGGGTCTCCTTATCACCACCAACCCGTATGACTTCCCCATGATCAGTCACGGTGAAATCACTGTCAAGAGTATCAATGACGTTGAAGAATTCATCGCCACTGATGTGAGTACACACTCTGCAAAATCCAACACATTAAAAGTTACACTTTAATTGATTAAATACTGCACATACTGTAACGGTTCCTCAGATATCATAATGATGTCCTGTCAGAGCAGCCAATAACATAAAGTGAAGACACGACAGCTTTATTTATAAGTACATTTTTTACACAGATGTAGGTTTAAGGTGCTGTTCAAATAAGATAAAATAACACAATACAAAAGAAAACTTCAATTTAAAGTAAAAACAACATCATCAACAGCATCATAAGGTAAAAGGAGATGAAAGTTAAAAAAAAATGAGCATAAATAAACCAAAAGAATGAAAGTTGTAATAATAATACAGTAATAATAAGTCATTGGATTTTAACAACATTCAGTTAAAGTGTTTGAGAACAATATGGTTTTTGCCTTGGATTTAAAAACTGCAGTGGTTTGAGTTTTCCTAAGAAGGACAAACATAAATAACAAAGAAAAATGTTACAATAAATCTGTATTTTTCATGATCCATTCGGCAGACTGCCATCGACATCCTGGGCTTCACTGCAGAAGAGAAGTCAAGCATCTACAAGCTGACAGGAGCTGTGATGCATCATGGAAACATGAAGTTCAAGCAGAAGCAGCGTGAAGAGCAGGCTGAGCCTGACGGCACTGAGGGTAAATGCTGGAGCAAAAATTCTAAATATCATACCTGTACAGTTAACTCATCATTACTAATATACTGTAATGTTTTTTCCCACCGCATACATTTCACAGAGTTCTCCTGTTATACTGTGTATTTGTTTATTTAATCATGCTTCCACAATTAAGAATGATGGACAAAAGTTAGGGTGTCTCAGCTTATCCTTAAGCTGGAGGTTTTGGCTGATGAGAATAACAATACCTGGGCTACTCTACACTAAGCCTGTTGTCACAGTGACCTGGCGCTGCATCACCCATCACCTTTGTAATTTATTAGCATCACTGAGGAAAGTGTGTAATCTTTGTGTTCTCTGTTTTCATCAGAGGCTGATAAAATTGCCTACCTCATGGGCCTGAACTCTGCTGATATGCTCAAGTCATTATGTTACCCAAGAGTCAAGGTTGGCAACGAAATGGTGGTTAAAGGTCAAACTGTGCCACAGGTACTTTACATTAAAGTATTAGTTTACAAACATAATTGTGTTAATCAATATAAAAGCTCCACATGTTCTGTATAACCAAAACTACAACTCTTTTGATCTTTAGGTGCACAACTCTGTTATGGCTCTCTCCAAAGCTGTCTACGAGAAAATGTTCTTGTGGATGGTCTTCAGAATTAATGAGATGTTGGATACCAAGCAGGCAAGAAGCTATTTCATCGGTGTCCTGGATATTGCTGGGTTTGAAATCTTTGATGTGAGTTTTGTGACACTGTTTTGTTTTTGATAATGATAATGATAATGATGATGATGATTTTGTGGTTGAGGAAGTAACTTTGACTTGTTACAAATAAAGTTCAACAGCTTGGAGCAGCTGTGCATCAACTTCACCAATGAAAAACTGCAACAGTTTTTCAACCACCACATGTTTGTCCTGGAGCAAGAGGAGTACAAGAAAGAGGGAATTGAATGGGAGTTCATTGATTTTGGTATGGACTTGGCTGCCTGTATTGAGCTGATTGAGAAGGTACTACAAGAGACATTTGTTACAGTGATGAAAAAAATAATGGTCCTCACTATTAAAGGGCTGTACATAAATGTACTTTTTTCTCATTTGTGTTATCGGTAACAGCCAATGGGCATCTTATCCATCCTTGAAGAGGAGTGCATGTTCCCCAAGGCTACAGACATGACCTTCAAGAACAAAATGTATGACCAGCATCTTGGAAAAAATGCTATCTTCCAGAAACCCAAACCTGCCAAAGGCAAAACTGAGGCCCATTTCTCTCTGGTGCACTATGCCGGCACTGTTGACTACAATGTCAATGGCTGGCTTGATAAGAACAAAGACCCTCTGAATGACTCAGTTGTTCAGCTCTACCAGAAGTCTTCCACCAAACTGTTGGCTCACCTCTTTGCATCACATTCCTCAACAGAAGGTAGAGTCTTTTTTATATTTAAGGTACACAACATGTAGAACTGAAGCAAATGTACTGTATCATAGTTATGTTAACTAGACATCACCAGTACATTTTATTGTCAAGTTTTATCTACAGGAATAAAGGATTATTCAGAGTAACCCCCAAACAATTTAAGATACTTTGAAAACTATATTTAGCAACATCAATACCATCATACTTGGAAATAATTTATGTGCCAAAATGAGAATGCAAAATGAAAATAAACTTGTAAATTCTTTTTACAGAGAGTAAAAGTACAAAGAAGATGAAGAAGGGCGGCTCCTTCCAGACAGTATCAGCCCTCTTCAGGGTATTTTTTATTTTCACAAACATATTTCATGGTCACTTTTGAACACATATATAAATAACTGCGCAGGTGATGAATAATGGAAGAGCCTAACTAAGCTTTACACAAGAAACATGCATGTAGTGCACCAGTGACTCGTTAATGCCATTTCATAGCAGGCCAGGTTTGTTACCTGAATGTATATCGCTGCAGAGCTACTGTAAGTGGTGCGTTGATCTTCAACATGGGTGGTCTGGGTTCAGTCTCATGAATTGATTATCTTATCCTGATTGTCTGTAAAACATTTATTAGTGAAAAAGAGGTAGAAGTAAAAACATATATTTACATCAGTTCAGGCACACCACAGAACCTCTCCCTTTCAAGCATCACAAACTAAATCTTCTGTTTCTATTTTTTATGCTGCCATCTTAAAGTTATAAAGTGTTGTCATGTCAGTGTCAAGACTTTGGGGAAAATGTTAATTCTAAAAGTTTTGTCCAACAGGAAAACCTGAGCAAGCTGATGACCAACTTAAGAAGCACTCACCCACACTTTGTGCGCTGTTTGATTCCCAATGAAACAAAAACACCAGGTAGGCCCCCAAAAAAGTTGTGTGTATAGCTGTTTCTAATATGAACTCCTAACAATGTTTGACCTTTCACACATGTAGCACACAACAGAAGGTTTTTCATGTCACAAGGGCTCTCACCTACTTGAAATACTCTGGTTTGGTAACGATTTTGGCTTCGGCCTTTAATGTCAGAACTTCCTGAATCCTGTCATCTCTCCACATGGACATTTTCATTGCTGTCTTTGTGTACATGACCCTTATTTTTCACCCTTGGATGTTTGTTTTCCTCTGGTTTTGCACAAGCTGCATACACCCACTCGTTCACTGTGAATTCTACGAATAGTTAGGTGCTCTCTTCACATGTTGGCTCAGTTGGACATTATAGTGAATTTGTCATAGGGCGCTGGCATGGTTAAGTCCATGTAATGTCCAATCCAACTGATTCAGACAGCTCTCTGAGCACAAACAGCTCCTTCAGGTCATGTCTAGGTAATTTCAGGTCTGCAGTGCATGTCTGAAAGGAGCGTATGACTAACAGAAGCCTCATATTCCTCACAACAATTACGATGGGGGAGGTGTTTATGAATTCTTAGCTTCTTTAGTTTATCTACTGTATGGTTAGCCGTTCTGTTCCACAGTTGCTGTTACAAAGCAGGCAGATGTTTGCAAATAACACCTCCTCAGCACCTCTGACCTGTGCAGGGGCTTCATGTCCATAACCTTGGGTGTTCTTGTTACTGTTTAAGGTCTCATGGAGAACTTCCTGGTCATCCACCAGCTGCGGTGTAATGGCGTGCTGGAAGGTATCAGGATCTGCAGGAAAGGTTTCCCCAGCAGAATCCTCTACGGTGACTTCAAGCAGAGGTGCAGTAGCTATCTCTGTCAGGCCACTTTTGCTGACTCTGTGCTATCAATGATCTGATCTAAGTAATTCCTTTCAGATACAAAGTATTGAATGCTAGCGTCATCCCTGAGGGACAGTTCATCGACAACAAGAAGGCCTCAGAGAAACTGCTGGAATCCATAAACGTGGATAAAACACAGTACAGATACGGCCACACCAAGGTAAAGAGCATACTTAATTACAATCATGACATAATGGCATTATTGTGTAGCATGAAACAAAAAAATAACATTTTGGTGATTTATTGTTATTAAAACTGTCATCAGGTATTCTTCAAGGCTGGAATTCTGGGAATGCTTGAGGAGATGAGGGATGAGAAACTGGTTGAGCTAGTCACAATGACTCAGGCTCTCTGCAGAGGTTTCCTGATGAGACGAGAATTTGCCAAAATGATGGAGAGAAGGTGGGCTTCATTTTGATATATACAGATATTGTATCTATAGATATTGTATGTAGTCTGCATTAGCTTGTGCATGTTAAATGTTAAAGCAGCATATTCTTCATACTTCCAGTAAATATAATTTTGGATGCAGTTACTGGATGAGCTGTTGAAGAGTCTGAGTCAGTGTATGGGGATATGTAGGGCTGCTTCAAATTGATAGCTCCTGGCTGATACTGAATTCGGTTCAGTATAGGTCTGACATCCTAATGAGATCCAGGGAGACATAGTCTGCTCTTCTAGCTTAGCAGTCTATAGGAATAAATGAATGATATATTTTCCATCTAAAGTCCTCATAGTTATTGAATTCAAGGTTTTATTTATCCTGATACTCCAAAATAAGTCAAGCAAAAGAAATATTAGACTGGATGGAATTGTTTCTCATTTGCCGTCCGTCAGTACCGTGGCAAGTGCAAGCTGCTGGGCAGACTACTCAAGGGCAAGTGTTTCCCTGATTATCTCCCTGACACAAGAGGAGCCTTCTACGTGTGCTGCATCCTCTTTATTTTGATTACCTAGTTTGAACTCTTTTATGTAGGGACTAGGAGGAGAGTGTGTTAGTGTGCTGAGCCTCGCAGGAGCGGTTGCTGGATCAGAGACAGTTTGATACTGTACCTTGAGTTACAGTTATATGTGAAGCAGTGTAACATCAGGAACTTAAAATAAATGTGTTGTAGGCTGTGGGCAGTGTTTTCATAGTGAGTCAGGGTCAGGTTTCAGGCTCAAGCAGCATCAACTTTTGATAACAGTAGAGACTTTCTAATGACTGTAAATCTTTACCTAATGCTGGGCAGACACTACACGAGAATCAGGCCGATATGGGACAGATACCCCCTCCCAACAATACTCAGTAAAGCCCTAATATTTTTGATGGTTCTTAAGATCATCTTGCCAGACGTTCCTGTGGTGTGAGTTATGTTAAAAGTGATTATTACTTTATATGATCTGCTCAGAAGTTGATTTTGGTTTCAAGTTTCAATTATAGTAATAAAACATTTGTTCAACCAAAGATAGGCCTTCTTTTGCCATTAGTTTAAGGGTCATTCTGACTGATGATAATAATTCTGTAAAACCTTGATACAATGAAACCGTGGTATTTTCTGAGACGGTTATCATACCATGAAAATCTCATACCGTTGCAACCCTAGTTGAGATTCAAAATAAATGTTTTAGTGTGGGCAGGCTGAACTGGAGTTGTTGATGAGACAAACCACATGAACTCTTTCCTGCATTAGAGGAAAGAGCATAGGAGAGGTGGTTACACTAAGACATCATTGAGGTCAACTTTCCGCAACAGAAGCACGTTTCTGGAATGCTAAATAGTTGATATTTAATGTTAGGACCCAAAAAGGGATGCAAGGGTGGCAGCAGTAAGAAACAATATCACCTAACTGTCCTATTATTTTACAGTTGTATGTGTGTATGTGTGTGTGTGTGTATGTGTGTGTGTCTACTGTAAAACAGGAGAAGAGGAAACATTCTGACGTTTCTGTCTTGTCCACCAGGGAAGCTATTTACACCATCCAGTACAACATCCGCTCATTCATGAATGTCAAAACCTGGCCATGGATGAAGCTGTACTTCAGAATAAAGCCCCTGCTGAAGAGCGCAGAGATTGAGAAAGAGATGGCACAAATGAAAGAGGACTTTGAAAAGATGAAAGAGGAGCTAGCAAAGACTCAGGCTAAGAAGAAAGAACTGGAGGAGAAGATGGTGTCTCTGATGCAAGAGAAGAATGACTTGCAGCTACAAGTTCAGTCTGTAAGTTAAAAAGAAAGAAGGGATTACTTTTCCAGAGATCCTGGTTTTTAAAGTTCAGTAATGATCATTTTGATTTTATGTCATCAAATCTAGGAAGCTGAAAACCTCAGTGATGCAGAAGAAAGGTGTGAGGGGCTCATTAAAGCAAAAATCCAGCTTGAGGCCAAAGTCAAAGAGACGTCCGAGAGACTGGAAGATGAGGAGGAAATGAATGCTGAGCTGACTGCAAAGAAGAGGAAGCTGGAGGATGAGTGCTCTGAACTGAAGAAAGACATTGATGACTTGGAGCTCACCCTGGCTAAAGTGGAAAAGGAGAAACATGCCACTGAGAACAAGGTTTATGTCTCTTATTTCACTTAAATAAACTGTGGTTATTAGAAATACACACTGTGATTACATATTAAATAATTGTTTTTATATGAACTGTTAAGGTTAAAAACCTGATTGAGGAAATGGCATCTCTAGATGAGACCATTGCCAAGCTGACCAAAGAGAAGAAAGCCCTCCAAGAGGCCCAACAGCAGACCCTCGATGATCTGCAGGCAGAGGAAGACAAAGTCAACTCTCTGACGAAGGCTAAAGCCAAGCTTGAGCAACAAGTGGACGATGTAAGAGGCTGCATATTTGTTCAAAACAAGTGCACCAAAGTTTTCTTGACATTTCCACTGATAGACATTGTACTGTTTGTGAATGCACTAGCTTGAAGGTTCTCTGGAGCAAGAAAAGAAGCTCCGTATGGACCTTGAGCGAGCCAAAAGAAAGCTTGAGGGGGATCTTAAACTGGCCCATGAAACCATAATGGATCTGGAGAATGACAAGCAGCAGTCTGAGGAGAAAATAAAGAAGTATGTAATCATAAAAACTTAATTTATAACTTCCACAATTCTCCCAAATAATAATGTGCATCTAACATTTTTATTATTTTTGCTAACAAAGGAGGGACTTTGAGATAAGTCAGCTTCTTGGCAAGATAGAAGATGAACAGTCAGTTGGTATTCAGCTTCATAAGAAAATCAAGGAACTGCAGGTAATGTGTAATTATGTGTTTTGGGGGTGTGACATGGAAATATGTAAAATGCAGGACTGTCATTTAGAAATCATTAATAACAGTGCAACATTAGCTAGCTAGCTAGTCAATGAGACATCAGCATTCTACTAGTGATTTTTTTTTGTCATGTTTGTTAGAAAGAAAAGGACCATAATACATAGAAACAACCCTAAACCAAGATAATACAATGGTTATTGTAATTTTTAAATCTTTATTAACAAAGAAAATGCTCCATTTGTGAGTTTGTGTTTTTGCTTGCAGATGATTTTTCATAAAACTTAGTCTGGAGTGTGTCTTGGAAAAACCTCTGTTTGGAGGGCCTCACAACCTACACCTCTGTCCAAACAATAATCGAGATTCCTTGATGTGAACGTGCAAAACAGAGTAGTAGGGCTAAGTGGTAGGGGCAAGTGGTGTATTGGGATTGAACCTTTGTCATAGACTGAAAAAAGCAAAGTCAAACCTTATACATTGGAAATAAAGCTTGACACACAGGCCATTTGAACATGGCCTTGTACCTTTTTTGCATCACAGGCTCGTATTGAGGAGCTGGAGGAAGAGATTGAGGCTGAGCGAGCTGCTCGGGCCAAGGTGGAGAAGCAGAGGTCTGATCTCTCCAGGGAACTTGAGGAGATCAGCGAGAGGCTCGAAGAAGCCGGCGGAGCGACAGCTGTTCAGATCGAAATGATCAAGAAGCGCGAGGCCGAGTTTCAGAAGCTGCGTCGTGATCTCGAAGAGTCCACCCTGCAGCACGAGGCCACCGCTGCAGCTCTCCGCAAGAAGCAAGCTGACAGCGTGGCAGAGCTGGGAGAACAGATTGATAACCTCCAGAGAGTCAAACAGAAGCTGGAGAAAGAGAAAAGAGAATACAAGATGGAGATCGATGACCTCACAAGCAATATGGAGTCTGTCTCAAAATCAAAGGTGAAATTTACAAATTTACTAAATATTCTATAAAAGAAAATAACTACCACAATTTGTTTTTCATCATCAGAAGCTTTATATCATATAGTTCACTTAACATTATTTTGATTTGTGTCCGCAGGCTAATCTGGAGAAAATGTGCCGTACTCTTGAGGATCAGCTAAGTGAACTCAAGTCCAAGAATGACGAGCACGTGCGTCAGTTAAATGAAGTGAATGTTCAAAGATCAAGACTGACAACTGAAAATGGTGAGTTTGACATCTGGGATGAGAATGATAAAATCACTAGAACCTGAAACCTGTTTATGAAAACATCACAGTTAAGCACAAATCATAAACATAGATGTTGAATAACTTTCCTATAATCCAATATTTCCAATCAGCGGAATTTGGTCGTCAGTTGGAGGAAAAAGAGTCTCTTGTTTCCCAGTTTACGAGGGGAAAAATGGCTTATATTCATCAAATTGAGGAGCTCAAAAAGCACCTTGAGGAGGAAGTTAAGGTACTGCAGTATGCTTCTATTTAATTGGCCATAAATTATCGCATGTATTTAGTTAGAAAAAAATAATTGATTTTTCCACATTATGTATTTTGTCATTATTAGGCCAAGAACGCCCTGGCTCACGCTGTTCAGTCAGCTCGTCATGACTGCGACCTGCTCAGAGAGCAGTATGAGGAGGAGCAGGAGGCCAAATCTGAGCTGCAGCGTGGCATGTCCAAGGCTAACAGCGAGGTGGCTCAGTGGAGAACCAAATACGAGACTGATGCCATTCAGCGCACTGAGGAGCTGGAGGAGGCCAAGTAAGTCATTATACATATACATATATATATATATATATATATATAAG